TAGTAACAATAGAGTAAAGGTGGATTTTGTACAGGAGGTTTTGCTTTTCCATTTGCAGGGTTACCCATGATTTCTATTCTGGGCAGTGACTGGAAATGTGCGATTAGGAATAGAATTGGAAACCGGCGGGGCGGGGTGTGCACTTGGGAATTAGGGCATATTGCGGGGGTTTATGATGTGGTCAGGGGGGATGGATGGAGGGTAGAGTATAGGTTTGTGTGAAGGGTTATGCTGCTAGTTTAGATAGTTTATTTAAGGGGGGGATTACGGGGGAAAGTGTGATGATAACATTGGGTTTTTGACCATGTGCGATTTTGGCAGAGGTTTTCGGGTTTTTTGCGGGTTTTATTGGAAAATTAATGTGAATTACTAAGGGGAGGAGGGGGGGTAGCTTTCAGGGATGGTGGGGGCCCCCGGGGGCTGCCGGGGCCCAAGTGGGGGTGGTTTTGGAGGGGGAGTAATTGCAAAGCCAGGGTTTAAAAAATATCATAGAAAAGGGGAAGGGAGAGGTGGGGGTTTTGGGTTTTTACAAAAATCCCTTGGGGGGCACTAAATGATTGTTATGAAGGGGGGGGGCTGGTAGGTAGGGGACATTGGGACCTGAGGGGAAAACAAAAGGAAATACAAAACGATCGCTACAATGGGGGGGGGGAAAAGGGTGTGTTGGGGGGAGACATTTGGGGTTGGTATTGGGGGAGGTCGGGAAAGAGGGCAGAGGACACGTCTGGGGTTTTTAGATGTGTAAATGGTGGGGGGTTAAAGGAGGGGAAGTTTGAGTACCACTGATGGAATAATAACTATTTTTTTTTTTTTTCCTTTTAGCACAATCGAGGGACAAAAAAAAACCGATAAGAGCAGTATCCAAAACCCCTTATACAAACATGCATTTCGGGCGGCTAAATTAACTTAAGATTTAAAATAAAGGGAATGATGAAATCGGATAAAAAATTAATGTAAACAATTACTATAAAAACACAAGTGAGTATTTCAAAACGTCAAATGTTTTCTTCATTTTGGGAGTGTTTCTGTTAGGTAGTGAAATTTAAAAAATAATAAAGTTAGATTCGGTTTTAGGTTTTAAATTTATGTGATATAATTGTGAGAAACTTTTTAAGATAAAAATTTAAAGTTTCTTTATTCGTTTTTAAATTTTTTTTTGGGGTTTGAGAAAGTGTTTTGAAAAGGCCCGGGAATTTAAAATTACAGGTTAGTGTTTTTTTTTTTATTTACAGGTAAATAAAATTCCCAAGAATTTTAGGGCCCCTTTTTTGTGCATTGAGTTTTTGGGCATAGTGTGAGTGGAAAACCAAAGGAAAACATCAAAAAATGATCTGTCCCTTTGGGTTTTTTTTGGGTCATGTGTCTTTGAGGTTGGAAGGAGATGTTTGAGGGGGGGGTTTAAATTATCAGAGTTAAGTGTTTTGTTATGTAATAGGGGGCAGTAATAATTTATGGATTTTTTTGTAGGGTGAGTAGGTTTGTGTATTGAATTTGGTGGAGTGTGTGCCCTGTAGTGAGAATTTATCATCATTCAAACTGAGCCTTTTGTTGAGAAAAATTAGTGGTCTGAGAGGGTTTAAATTTTGTTTTTTGACCCCCATGCAAAAAAATTCCATAGGTGAGTTTAGGGGTAAAAAAGGGAGAGTGATATGGGGCCCAGGAGGGGGGCTGTGGAACATTTTTCCCGTATCTTGTGTTTGCCCCGGGGTTTGGTTTTTTTTGGAAATTTTTTTTTGTTGTTTTTGTTATAAAAATTTGGGAGTCTTTTCAAGGGGGATTCCAAAGGGGTTTTTTCCCTCTGTTAGTTTTGTGATAGGTGATCCGTTTTTATTTGTTAAAAAAAGGGGCATCTGTTGCTCTGTTACCAAACTGGGAAAGAAGTTGGTTTTTTTTTTTTTCAATGTTTAGGTAAGTTTGGGGTTTGTCCTCTTCCCGGTAGATTTTTTTTTGTAATTCGGTATTTACCCGTATTGGCTAGCGTGGGGCTTTGGGTGGGGGGGAGGGAAGGGCGTATGTTGTGGTCATCTGCAAAAAAGGTGGGGTTTTAGAAAATTTCGAAGATTTTGGGAAGGGGCATTTACGTTTTAAGAGAAGAGAAGAGGGCCCCAAGGGGCCTTTTCTGTGGGACAACCCCAAATAAATTTGGGTTTCGCAGAAGAGTTTGCCCCCTTTGCTACACCTATTGGCTTCAAATTGCGGGGGTATGACTTGGGGGTAGTTGAGGGGTGCCCCCTTTTTACCCTAGTGGGGACAATTTTATGTGGAGCAAGTATGGTCAACTGTATCAAAAGCTTTTTGTAAGTCAATGAAGATCCCAGTGGGACTTCTTTTTTCTCTATTGCAGTGTATATATGTTCTAGCATGTGTATAATAGCATCATTAGTATTTTTATTAGGCCTGAATCCAAATTGGCAGGGGGTCGAGTATGTTTTGGGAGATAAGGTAGGAGTAGATTCGTTTATGAATTAATTTTTCGAAGATTTTTGAGAGAGGGTGTAAGTTGGATATTGGCCTATAGTTATTCAACTCTGTTTGGTCTCCTCCTTTGTGGATCGGGGTGACCCTTGCTATTTTGAGTACTGTAGGGAAGGTGGAGGATTCAATGGATTTGTTAAGAGTGTTGCAATGATTGGTGATAGCACTTGTGACACTTTTTTGTATATAAAGGGTGGTAAGGTATTTAAATCTCCTGCCTTGTTTTTTAGTGCGTTGATAATAAGGGAGACTTCGTATGGGTTAGTCGGAGCTAGGAACAGTGTGTTCGGGTAGTTGCCAGTGAGGTAGTCATTTGGTGGGGTATCTGAGCTTGGGATTTTATTGGCAAGGTTTTGTCCTATAGTGGAGAAGAAATCATTGAGTCTGTTTGCTGTTTCTGTTAGTGGGAGTTGGGGTTCATCTGATTTTGGTTTAGGGAAAAATTAATGCAGGACAAGGGTGGGGATAGGGAGGGAGAGATTATAGGGGAAGGGATTTTGGGTGTTTTAGGGGGAGTGGGTAGGACTAGGTGGTAGGATCAGTGAGCAGGAGGTGGGGAGGCAGTAACTAGCTTGAGTAGAGGAAAGGCACCAGGGATTGATGGGATCCCTAATGATTTCTATGTTGCAAATTGGGATTGTATGAAAGATTGTTTGGTGTCTTTGCTTAATTGTATGAAGGAAAGGGGAGTGATGGGGGGGAATGTGGGGCACGGGGGTGGTTGTTTTGGTTACCAAAGGAGGGGGGAGAGGACCCTGGGTGTTTATAGGGCGATCTCTCTCGTGTGTTGTGTATTCTGATAAAATTTTTGGGAAGGTTTTAGGTAATCACATGAAGAGGGTTCTTGACTTAGTTATTAATTGCAGACAGTATGGGATACCAGGTTGAAGTATGCGTGAGGGGCATGGGAGGATTAGAGATTTTTTGGAGATCAGGCGGGGGAGGGAAATCTTGGGGATCGACGGCTTTCGACACTGTTTGCGAAGACAAATGTCGTATTGGTGGAATTTTAGGGGGTTTTATTTGCTGGCTCTAATATCTTTTTTTTAGGGTAGAATCCAATGTCCATGTGTCTGCTCCAGAAGTGTTTTTCAGATGGTGATGGGTGAACATTAACAGGTGTAAGGAAATGCGTCCAATGTTTCTACCTTCGATGGGAATCGAACCCAGGCCCTCCACGTGTGAAGCGAGAGCTCTATCCACCAGGCCACGGCGATTCCAGGCTGAGAAACTGTATCCTCAAACTCCTGATCTTCAACCTTTCTCCTCTGTATGGATCATGTGTTGTCTGAACAGCTTGCACGTCTGTAGAGACGTCTTTGATTTATAATCAAAGTTCCTATCATCGATTCAATTGTTTCTCATATACAATACATTAGCTGTTGTAGTTACAATTTCAGTCTATAAAAAGTTAATTTTTCCAGTTACGTATTTCTCAATATAGTATTTTCCGGCATATAGACGCACAACACGTATGACGGTAAATCGGTAATCCTATTTAAGGCTCAAGTTTTCTATGATCTTGCATAGAAACCACCACCAAATGGGGTTACTTTGGTTACTTTGCTAGTGGTTACTTCCATTAGGGTCCTTAACTTTGGTCACAAGGCACTTGCATATGCCAAATGTTCCATGAATCTGGTACCTACTACCATGCACAAGCTTTTAAAACTTGAAGACTATAGGATGAGGCGTTCTTGAATTTGAGAAAAACCACTTTAAGGTCCCATTAAGGGCTGCTCTGTTAATAGTCTTTAAAGCAGCCCAATATTGTCCAGTTCTCAGCTTTCCACAAAAACCAAAGGAAATATAATTCTGGAGTAGACTCCCATTTGAAAATTTAAAAATACTGACACTGTACGGAATGTCAGCGAGATATTTTTATCTTATTGTACGGGGAATAAAAATGAAAGTTGAATGGTACGAATATTTTTCTGGGGTACGAAAACCAGCGAAATATTACACACTTGTCTTTACTTGGGGGATATTTACTATGATTATCACGCATCAATGAAGCCGACCAGAATCTCCAGCCATAATGAGTTTCTAACAGTGGGCTGCCTTACCAAGACAGGCTGTAGATAATTAGACATGTGCAACTCTTGGGTATCTTTATTGAGGAAACGTTTCGCCACACAGTGGCTTCATCAGTCCATACATAGGAGAAACTTGAAGAACAGGAGGAGAATGAGGTAATCAGTTCCTCAACCTTGAGTCGATGTGTTCAGTCCATCAATCTTGAGTAGAATACGGCATATGAGCGGAGAAGCAGCTTATAAACCGTATGGCAGGAGAGGTGCAGCAGTCATAGGTGGTGTCACATTTGTTCAATGTGGAAGTAGGTCGTGCCCAAGAATTAGGCAAGCGAAGAATTCCTAAGTATTAAGATCCCAAGAAGTTGCAGTGTGGGCAGGTTTGTAGATGAATGGTTCAGAGAACCGACGTGTTGATAAATTAGACACATGTGCAACTCTTGGGTATCTTTATTGAGGAAACGTTTCGCCACACAGTGCCGTATTCTACTCAAGATTGATGGACTGAACACATCGACTCAAGGTTGAGGGACTGATTACCTCATTCTCCTCCTGTTCTTCAAGTTTCTCCTATGTATGGACTGATGAAGCCACTGTGTGGCGAAACGTTTCCTCAATAAAGATACCCAAGAGTTGCACATGTGTAATTTATCAACATGTCGGTTCTCTGAACCATTCATCTACAAGACAGGCTGTAATATAACAATTCCTCACCCTCTGTGGTCCTGGTTGAGGCACAGCTCCTGGCCCAAATCCAGGCACTAATACTTGGAACAATGGCTCGTGGAGTCTCATCTGCCCTCGTGCTGATGACACCTTGATTATCACACTAAGATACCACAGCCTATGCTAAGGACCCCACCTAACCTGAATAGGCACTGCAGTTCTAATTATAAATATTTATTTCTACAAGCACATGTACAATGTATACAGGCTTAGCTGTCATCACATTTCATGCAGAGTATTTTGGGAAGTTAGGTCAATTTTGACCCCAGGATGAGACCCTCCACACTTGTCGACTAATGCCCAGGTACCTATTTTACTGATAGGTGAACAGAAAGAGCAGTCATCTCCAGGATACATGTCGTAATCTTTCCACCAGTAATGGAAATCGGGCCATGGACCTCAGTGTGCGAGCTGGGTCCGCTAGCAATCTAGCTACGGGACCGAACAAGCTACAAGGCCGTCGATACTCGTCCTGGGGTGTGGTAGTGTCTTCAATGACAGCTGAAGAGAACTTCGCTCCTCCACCCTTCTGTCATCTGATGAATATGGATCCACTAATCTATGGCGAGGGAGCATGGACACAGGGATCAACCTAGTCATGGATCCACTAATCTATGGCGAGGGAGCATGGTCACAGGGGGGTCAACTTTGTCATGGATCCACTAATCTATGGAGAGGAATTATGGACACAGGGGTCACCCCAGACACTAGAAACAACAGACATAGCCTCCCTCCATATAAGGGGCATTAAAGCAATTGCATACATCACTAACGTCCCATATAAAAAAAAACCTTGGAAAGGGTTCTAAGAAGCAAGATCGCCACCCACTTAGATACCAATCAGTTACATAATCCAGGGCATTATGGGTTCAGAGCAGGTCGCTTCTACCAGTACCAACTACTGGACCACTATGACATGGTCTTGGATGCTCTGGAGGAAAAAAAAAAGTGCAGATATAGTACACAGACTTTGCAAAAGCCTTCGACAAGTGTGACCATGGTGTAATGGCGGACAAAATGTGTGACAAAGGAATAACAGGAGAAGTAGGTAGATGGATCTATAACTTCCTAACAAATAGAACAGTAACAGTAAACAGTAAAGTCACGGGCTGCTACTGTGACAAGCGCTGTTCCACAAGGTTCAGTACTCGCTCCCACCCTGTTCCTCATTCGTATCTGACAGATGTCAGCCACAGCACAGTCTCTTTGCAGATGACACCCAAATTTGCATGACTCTTCCATTTCAGACGCTGCAAGACTCCAAGCGGACATCAACCAAATCTTTAAATGGGCCGCAAAAACTATGAAGTTCAATGATGAGAAATTTCAATTACTCTGATATGGGGAACTAGGAAATTAAAACTATCGGAATAAAAAAAAAAAATCCAACCACACAATAGAGGGAAAATCTAATGTGAAAGACCTGGGAGTGATAATGTCAGAGGATCTCACTGTCAACGATCACAACAATGTTTCTAACATCTGCTAGAAAAATGACAGGATGGATAATGAGAACCTTCAAAACTAGGGATGCCAAGCCCAGGATGACTCTCCAGGTCGCTTGTCCCATCTAAGCTGGGCTATTGTCTGCACCTTCAAATGTTCACGGGCTGTTTAAAATATAGCATAAAACTACACTAATTTAACGTTATTTTTGTTTAAATAATGTCATGGCCCTCAAACCTGGTAGGCCTGTGGAGCTATCGGGTGTGAGCGGCCATGGTGGCCCCTCACCAGCAGCCCGGGGGCCTTCGCCAAACAGCCCTGAGCCAACTAATTGTAATATAGTCCGTCAGTGGCTATTCAATATTTACTTCCCGTTAAGGAAAGTATCCGATATCAATGAGATCCAAATATTTCCAACTCTCTTTCCTAAATAAATGCTCTGGAAAATGTACAAAAGGAGGATGACAAAGTTGATCCCATGTATCAGAAACCTTCCCTATGAGGATAGACTAAGATAAGATTTCGTTCGGATTTTTAACCCCGGAGGGTTAGCCACCCAGGATAACCCAAGAAAGTCAGTGCGTCATCGAGGACTGTCTAACTTATTTCCATTGTGGTCCTTAATCTTGTCCCCCAGGATGCGACCCACACCAGTCGACTAACACCCAGGTACCTATTTGCTGCTAGGTGAACAGGACAACAGGTGTAAGGAAATGTGTCGAAATGTTTCCACCCGCCGGGAATCCTGCACTCTCTAGAAAGACGTAGAATTAGGGGGGATATGATTGAGGTGTATAAATGGAAGACAGGAATAAATAAAGGGGATGTAAATAGTGTGCTGAAAATATCTAGCCTAGACAGGACTCGCAGCAATGGTTTTAAGTTGGAAAAATTCAGATTCAGGAAGGATATAGGAAAGTACTGGTTTGGTAATAGAGTTGTGGATGAGTGGAACAAACTCCCAAGTACCGTTATAGAGGCCAGAACGTTGTGTAGCTTCTTATAAAATCTAATTACCTTTCTTGGCGGGCGTGGATCTCGCCTCGTGAATGCAATATTATTTCTACAAATGTGTGATACAACTTATACAGACCATAGCTGATATCAGTGACGTACTATATAGTGTGTCCCTGGTTATGCAGAACATTTCTGGAAACTTTGGTTAATTTTATACCCAGGATGCCACCCACACCAGTCCACTAACACCCAGGTACCTACTTGCTGCTAGGGGAACAGGGACAGCAGGTGTCTTGAGGAAACACGCCCACTGTTTCCATCCGTACCGGGGATCGAATCACAAAGTGTAAGCAGAATGCACTACCAACCCAGCAACGGAACATTTATAATCAAGAAAGGAAACGGAAAGTAACTATAATGAACCATACCACGGGCGGAATTGAACCCGCGGTCAGTCAAAACTCCAGACCATCACGTTAGCCACTGGACCAGCTAGCCACAATAAGATTCGTCCAACTAGGTATATTTGTACACCACAGGAAGGTTGTGGCTAGCTGGTCCAGCGGCTAACGCGACGGTTTGGAGTTTTGACTGACCGCGGGTTCAATCCCGCCAGTGGTATGGTTGGTTTGTAATCGTGTCATTGCAATTTCGTGAGTCATGTTAACTATAATGAAAATACCAAGGCTGGCGGAACAAGGTACTCACCTTCAACCACAAGAACAGTGACAGCTGAAGCTATCAGGAACAGAAAACCAGTTAGTATCAAGCACCAGCCCACTTGTCGGCGTCGATGCAATCTCCTGTTGTAGGCGTCGCGGGAGCTAACAGGAGTGTGAAATCTCCGTTGATCACTCCTCCACGGTGACCACGGCAGCTGTGACAGTGTTGGCCTTACCCCTGTCCAGGCAAGAAATTGAAACACCAGCTTTGACATGCGAGGTTAATTTGCACTCGTGACAAAATGAAAACGAACTTTCTAAACATTTCCCCACTCTTCCCATCTCCCCATAGTTTTCGTTCCCCCCCCAAAAATGCAAAGGGGGATGTCTCCCCAATCTGGCGATCCTGTCAAAGATAAAACTGTTAATTTGACAACACCGGGACTAAGGAAACCATTCTCATTTTCCACGGGAAACTAGCACTATGATATTCCCCACGAAGCCAGACATTAGCCACACTTTCATATCTGGTTAACGAATAATTATATATAAACTTCGGTTACCCTTGCCAAATCTATCCTTAAAAAAACAGACATTGAAAAAACCTAGCAATTCGAAGTTAACTGGAACACAAACTGGAAATCTTAATGGAATAACATTTATAAAGATTATGGCAGAAATCACAAAACTCATGGTATTGCTACAAGACCATTATTAAGCGAGCACCAAGAAAAGCAAATATTAGCAAATACTGAGGGAAATCCGTTAATTATGCCGAAATCTTGTACCCTTACTTGCCAATTCAGTATCCAGAGGCTAAATCTCTCGTCGTGGGTTAGTCAACACAGGCATTGGGCGAAACATGGAGGGAGCAAAACGACAGCAGCTTAACTATCCTCCAAATGCTGTTTATACTGGAGAGATGCTATACCTCTTAAGCCTATCAAATCCCACCATACTTTATGATCCAACGTTAAGATTGGCAAAAACTAAGATACCATAAAAGGGGAACGTACCTCTGGTGGTGGTAACATAGCATGTACTGCTGGTCTCGGGTGAGGAACGTACCTCTGGTGGTGATAACATAGCATGTACTGCTGGTCTCAGGTGAGGAACGTACCTCTGGTGGTGGTAACATAGCATGTACTGCTGGTCTCAGGTGAGGAACGTACCTCTGGTGGTGATAACATGGCATGTACTGCTGGTCTCAGGTGAGGAACGTACCTCTGGTGGTGATAACATTGCATGTACTGCTGGTCTCAGGTGAGGAACCTACCTCTGGTGGTGATAACATTGCATGTACTGCTGGTCTCAGGTGAGGAACCTACCTCTGGTGGTGATAACATAGCATGTACTGCTGGTCTCAGGTGAGGAACCTACCTCTGGTGGTGATAACATAGCATGTACTGCTGGTCTCAGGTGAGGAACCTACCTCTGGTGGTGATAACATAGCATGTACTGCTGGTCTCAGGTGAGGAACCTACCTCTGGTGGTGATAACATTGCATGTACTGCTGGTCTCAGGTGAGGAACGTACCTCTGGTGATAACATAGCATGTACTGCTGGTCTCAGGTGAGGAACGTACCTCTGGTGATAACATAGCATGTACTGCTGGTCTCAGGTGAGGAACCTACCTCTAGTAGTAATAGCGTAGCGTGTAGTGCTGGTCTCCTCGGGTGGATAGTCTAGACTACCAAGTGCATCCTGGTAGCCCTGGCTGCTTCCTCCACCCCACGAACTGTGTATGGAGATTAGATATATTTTATTTACTCAACACTTAAAATACTATGGTGGGTATTGCATTTTAATCTTCAAACTACACAAAAAATTTCAAGAAACCTTTTCTGGGTATCTATTTGTAGACGTTTCGCCATCTAGTGTATATCATTACAAAATCAAGGTCATAACGGGAAGACTAGAATTATACACAAAAGACGAGGTGAAGAGCACCGAAGTCTTGAAGAATCTGAAGCACAGGCATGAAGATTGGTGCTTATATACTGGCATCAGGTGAGGGAGTTATAGCAGACAGTCACTGGTAGGCGGGATTCCCCACTGGAAGTGGGTTATGTCAAAGACGAACCATGAGACATCTCCACAACTTTCTTGCCTACTCATGAGGCTTGGTCTCAGACCTAGCCGGGGGCGCTGATCCCCTAAGCCCCCTCCAGGTAAACAAGGTATCCATGATACGAAAATAAAAATTACAACTTTTGTGATGTATCCTAGAGGACCTAGAGGCTTGGTGGGACTTAGGGACTCGGGGGTCGCATACAATGTCCTTCCTTCAGTGTCTACTGTCTAGCTCCCCAACTAGCTCAGAGACCCTGGATCAGGAACATTATAGTTCCTATATTTTTATTACAAAAAATTATGTCCGTAGAACTGACTTAAGTGGAATTATACAAGTATAAATTGGCAATAAAAATATTTAAGTGGACCCGACATTTAGGTAATTTATCTTGTCTACTTACTAATCATTCGTTATATCATATATGGAACACTTACCAATTTATTATATTGGTGGTATATCCTAACTCCTCCCACAGGAAGATTACATAGAAATTGGCTAATATTAAGTAACCTTACCTGTTGTGTGGTTTGTAACATACACGGAGAATAAACTAATTTAATGAAGAGGACGAGGCTGTAGACTATATGGAGTCTCATTCACTGCTTCTACTTTGTATTTTCTCTCATTCAATCACTAATAAAAAACGCTAAACCTATAAGGGTCATACAGCGCAGCGGGGCAGGGAAGAATGCAGGGGTAGAAGGGAGAGGTAGAAACGGCTGTGAGGAGTGCTAGAGGCAGCATCAAAGTTTGTACAGGCAATCAGTTGAAGTCAATAAGTCAACGAGTTAGTTATAGGGTCCATCAGCAAGAAGGGAAGGTAAAGTAAGGGCAGTAGAGCAATGACGACGATGGAGGTAAATTCTGTGTGCTCGTTGATAGTGGCAGTCCAACAGAATGTGGCTAACGGAAACTGGAACCTGACAATTCTCAGTGGAACAGGGTGCCTCTCCATGCGATACCCGTGAGTAAGACGAATGTGGCCGATGCGAAGACTCGATTGAGTAGTCTCCCAACTACGGCACTGATGACAAGATGGAGGTCAGAAACCTATACGTGGTTTAATAGAATCATTTATGTATCAAATCAGATCAACGTTGTTGCAAAAGATTGCAAAAACGGTTAGAAATTACAGCAAAGTAGTCTGGGAATGGAACACCTCTATTTCCTCACACCAGTTGTCCATGTTCACCCATCAGTAAAATAGGTACCTGGGTGTTAATGGACTGGTGTGGGTCGCATCCTGGGACAAAATTTGCCTAATTTGCCAGCAAGGGCAGAAATGCTTATAGAAATTAACCTTCCATTATACACAGTACTTTTCTGGGCTTTTATTAATTTCTTTCTAATATTCCCGTCCCAGTTTAGTAGACCTGGTAGGAAACTGGTGTTCAGAAATGATGTCCAGAGCATTTAACAGCGTACATTCAAGCTTTGACATCAGACACTAAAAATCACTAGCGTTCCAAAATAACGCAGATCTCTTCTCCCCTCCTCACCCCTTTCCCTACCTCCTCACTTTTCCTCCCCTCACTTCTCCCCCACTAAAGACCATTCCTAATTAAATTAGCAGGTTTCTCCGTGATGTCCCTCAATATCACCTCCGTAATGGCTGGGCGAAACAATCCTTCAGAAACGTCAACCATGTAATCACGAAACGTACAATGCTTTTACCGTCTTCCAAGCGCTATTTGCTTGCAACCTTCTTTAAGGTCACACTATGCATTTACAATTATGTTTGTACCCCATTAACATCCATTGAACTATGGTTCGATCCCCGGTAAGGGTGGAAACATTAGAACGTGTTTTTCCTAAGACACCTGCCGTCCCTGTTCACCTATCAGTAAAATAGGTACCCGAGTGTTAGGCATCTGGTGTGGGTTGCATCCTAGGGACAACTGACCTATGTAGACAGCCTGTACTGTCTGCACAGACAGCCCATGCTGTCTGCCAGCTTAGTTCATATTTCGCGGCATGCTGGTGCTGCCACCTATAGGCCTTGCCACTTCAGTATGCCCAGACTTGCCTCGCTCTCACTCACACAGCGGCCTGGCATCAAGACACAAGTACTCCCAGCTCTCTCTCGTGGGCATGGCCCTGCCCGGGCCATGGGCACAAACACACAAGCCTGTGTAACCCACCACTACTTAACAATAAAGTAAGAAGCCTCCGAAGAAGTATATCATTAACACCGCTCTACAGTCTACCAAATAACCCCCATTATATACGCTCGCCCACCTATCGCGCGTCGTCCCGACGCGACAATACTGGTAGTAAAAGAAACTCGGTCTCTCTCTCGTAGGAACAGGGCACAGAACACAACATAAAAACATATATATACATATGGACATGGAAAAAAAAAACTTCCTACAGGGAGGGAAGAAAAAAACATGTGGGGTGTGCTAAACATCGTGGTCAAAGGCAGTGAGCGTCGAAGTGTATCACTGCACGCCTTCCTGCATCTGGACAGATACTGCAACACAGGAGACATCGCTGCGGCTGAGCTGTGACGTAACAGGGTACGGTCTCCTCTGGAACGGTGAAGAAGACATCGTAGGAGTCGCTGCAGGTTTTCACTCAACCTGGGGCATGACATGCTGGTGCCCTCGAGTGAGGCGTCGACAAAACTCGGCAACTGGGCAGGACTTCTGGCAAGCGACTCAGGAGGACACTTCTCGACTGGTACTGTCACTGGGCTGTCACTGCCGGCGAGCGTGGAGCGAGTTGTGGAGCGAGTCGTGGCAGAGACGACTGGGCGAAACATCTGGGAGTCGTAACATCATACACCAGACTGCAGTGAGCGAGCTAGCAGTCAAAGTGACATCATCTTTGTGCAGGCTGCTCACTGAAGCTTGTGACACGAGGCTGACACAACACCTGCCGACAGGGCTGGCTGCGGCTTGACGAGTATCATCTCTCGACAGCTGGAGTTATAGCAGAGGTTAGCCTAAGCGTCCCCAGACTTGTTTCTCTACATATAACTGCACTCTGACGGTCTGGAGGTGAAGTGAAACAAATCTCGATGGGAATCGTAGCAGGTACGATTCTGCAGAACATCACGAGCGACGAGCATAAAAGCTTTCTGTACAAGGGGGCTCATACGCTCAGGGCTGAGTAATCAGCTGTCAAACACTGGTCAGGCGGGTGACTAACACAGTGGTGCTACTCAGGTCTGGCTGGGCCAGACCTCACTGGACACACGAAACTTTAAAAACACACCGCTGTACATACCGTACAATATGGCTTAACTAGCAAATGATGCTTTTCTGTGCACAAAACTGACACTAAGACATATACTAAAATGTGAGAACACTGACTAAGAGGAATTAATTAACACACGACATATATCTTCTCTCAATCTTCTCGACAATATTGAAATAATTACTGAACACTCAATGGTGACATCATGTGATGTCAGGCGTGATGTCGCGAGGTGACGTCAGCAGCACTGTGACGTCAGCAGACGTCTCGAGGTGACGTCAGCAGACATCTCGAGGTGACGTCAGGCAGACATCGTGAGGTGACGTCAGCAGACATCGTGAGGTGACGTCAGCAGACATCTCGAGGTGACGTCAGGCAGACATCGTGAGGTGACGTCAGCAGACATCTCGAGGTGACGTCAGGCAGACATCGTGAGGTGACGTCAGCAGACATCGTGAGGTGACGTCAGCAGACATCGTGAGGTGACGTCAGCAGACATCTCGAGGTGACGTCAGGCAGACATCGTGAGGTGACGTCAGCAGACATCGTGAGGTGACGTCAGCAGACATCGTGACGTCATGAAGTCGGGCAGCATCGTGGGTGGCGTCGATGTGATGCGGGCAGCAGACCACAGCATGAGGCCTGGGACATCTGGTAACTCACGTGGCTTTGTAGGTCTACGTGACATCGGCAACACCCACGTGACGTCGTAATCCACGTAGCTTCGAGTGGCCTCGGGCACTCGGATACACAGCTCTGGCAATGAATTCACATGGAAAACAGCAGAAAACACAGCAGAGGGAGTGGGCAGTGGTGAGTGGTGTATGGTAGGCTGGTGGCGAGGAGCGTGCGTGAGTGTATGGCAGGGCGGGCATCTGGCGGTTCCTCCTCCCACCCACAAACACAGGGGAAACACACTGGACGCAGAAATCACCACAAAACTCACCTCTGGCTTGCTGAAACAGCTGTGCTGAGCTGAACAACAACAGCAACATACAAGTGACGCTGAACACGTGACTTGAGAAACAGCGTGGGACGCTGTAGCGTGGAGTCACTGGGACGCCACTCACAATTCTCGGAGAATTTCGGCAAATTTCGGCTGGATCCTGCTTGTACCTGTGTCTGGATGCTCAAACGTGCAGACACGACATCAGGATAACTCGTTGAGAGACGGATGCTTCTTGTGTAGGGTGATGAAGTGAAGAAGACTCATAACTCTTCCTCCTTCGCGGGGCAAACACAACTGCTGCGAGCACCGCTGTCACCATTTATAATGGGGGTTATTTGGTAGACTGTAGAGCGGTGTTAATGATATACTTCTTCGGAGGCTTCTTACTTTATTGTTAAGTAGTGGTGGGTTACACAGGCTTGTGTGTTTGTGCCCATGGCCCGGGCAGGGCCATGCCCACGAGAGAGCTGGGAGTACTTGTGTCTTGATGCCAGGCCGCTGTGTGAGTGAGAGCGAG